TGATAATGAAATGACTATTTCAACCATCGATCATTAAGATTTTAGAAATGTGAATGCTCATATCTAATATTATATTCCACATACTAAGGATCTTGTGCTACGATTGGTCAAGAGTAAATCACGTGATGAAAGATAGGTCGCCTATCATTGATGAGAGCACTTTCACTGAAGGTAGAAGTACTATCTACACAGTGCAACGCACTTTAATTATATACTGTTGCGTATTGCTCTCCTCTTTAAGCGCTTTTAGTGTTAGTACGCGAACTTTGGTCACGCGCGAACTATGGTCACACCATACTGCATGCACTCTACGTATCGTACACCATTCGCTAGTTGTTAATTGATGACTTGTTGCTCTAAAATGACAGAAGAAGTGAAATGTTTCCGATGTGGAATCTATAAAGCAATTAATCACCTTTTGGTTTTAGGCGATAGCAAACTATCACTTCCTCGGCGATCTGAATGTTTACGCTATCTTAGCTACATCCAGATCGCCTCGAAAGTGATAGTTTGTTCCATCACCTTCACCAACGGTAATTATTTGCTTACTATTGCCATTTCATCAAAATTCGGATTGTAGTCAAATCGTATAATGTGCGATAGAGTTTACTATGACATTAGTTGCATTTCTAATCCCTTTATGGGCGTGTGTGCGTGTGTTTGCGTGTGTGTGTAAAATAAAGAAAAAACGTAACCATTTATAAGTTTAAATGTATTGTTTTGAATTTATTCCAGGTAATAACAAAGATAATCAAAGTACATTATATGTTTAAAAGTTAAACATACGTATAGCAGCGTTTTCCTTTGATAACAGGTATGTGACCGTACAGAATATAATTATGTAGCCTATGTGTACGTAAGATATCTGCCATTTTAGTTTGCGGAATAAGAGGAGTAAGAATAAGAAAGTATTATACAGCAGAGCAGGTCATAAACATTTGTCATGATTAAAAACTCAAGTTTTAGCCTTCATGTCTTTGAAAGAAAGCATTTTTTTGGTACTTGATAACTTACCTTTCATTAAGGATAGTAGTATCAGGGCTCAAATTATTTTTTTGTCCACGGGGGCTCTTCCAACAAACAAAAAGAGCCCCCGTGAGCCTTCTCACGGGTGCTCTTTTAGTGCTGACGGGGGCTCTTATTTTAATACAAATTTCCATTGAATTTGTACCCATGAAACTCCTAAATTCCTTGGTATTTATCATTATCATTTATTTAAGTCGGCATTTTCCCTCTTAGAAATTTACTTGTTACATAGCTCTTATTGATTTTTATCCCCGTGATGACATTCTCTCCATTTCTTCCCGTTCTGCACATAATGCCCTCCTCATTATTCGGAGCAACCTTATTTACATTCTTTCTTTACTTTTAGTCTTTACCATATCTTTCCAAAACACAGGGCGGATCTAGACAGAAATAACCGTCTGATATGGATCATTTCAAGAAGTACAGAGTTTTGTAGAATGGTGTGATCAATCAAATCTAATTCTCAATGTACAAAAGACAAAGGAAATAATTTTTGATTTTCGTCGCTCTTCACATTCTCATGAGCCTATTACTATCCATGGACATCCCATAGAACAGGTCCCAGAATACAAATATCTAGGGACAATCATCGACAACAAACTGAATTGGAATCCAAATTCACAAGTTCTCACAGGAAAGGCTAATCAACGGTTGTATTTCCTAAGGAAATTAAGGGAATTCCGAGTTGACAGTACCATCCTGGTACTATTCTACCAAAGTTTGTTACAAAGTATCCTTACTTTTAGTCTCGTGTGCATGTATGGGAACCTGTCAAATGAGAATGTGAAGAAGCTTAATAGAGCTAGGAAAGTCGCTCAGAGAATTACTCACACAGAGTTGCCCACAATTGGTGCTCTGTATGAAAAGAAGGTTCTACTGAAGATTCATAAAATAATGCAAGATTCATCCCATCCTCTACATGAGCTTTTTAAGTTCAACCGTTCAGGTATACGTCTAACAGTGCCTAAAACAATACGATGTAGATTCAGACAATCTTTTGTTCCAAATGCCATACACATTTTCAACAATTCTGTAAAACGATGATTTCCTAATTGAGTGTATGTAACGTGTGGATGGTTTGGGTGCATGCGTGGAGCCAGGTCGTAATCTTTTCTCCTTTTCTGTCCTCTCTAACTCTACCTGAAGCATTGTTTTGGGTGTGCACCTATCATTCTACCACTTTCTTTTCTTCTTATTTATTTCCTTATCTATCTCCTTTCCTCTATCTCTATTGTATTCATGTACCTGACTTCACGCATGCCTGCACACACACATGCATACATGTAAATTGGTATGTTATGCTCTGACCATGACTCTGTTTTTTTGCATGTCTTGTCATGTAAAGCAGAGTCATTTTCATGATAACCATTTTTCGAACAGTTGATGTCTTTTGCCATGCTTTTTTTAATCAAATTTTTAATCAAGTTTTTAATCAATGTCAATATTTCAAATGTCAGTACTAAGTGCAATAATGTAACCTATAACAGTAAATGTCTTTCAACTCAACAAATATGTATATTTGAGAAGAACTGTCTTTTATGATAGTGTTAAAATGCCTTTCACTCTGTCCATAATGATGCGAAACAGTAATCTTTTAAACTTTTAATGGATGAACAATGTATCTTGAGTGCGTGCATGAGTGTCAGCTGCTATGTTCTTTCTCCCTCCCTCTTCCCTCCTTTCACTTGAAGCTTTGTTTTAGGTGTGCATTTCTCCCTTATCTACCACTTTTTCTTATTTCTCCCCTCTCTCCTACACTGCATCTCTTTGTATACATGTACCAGATTTCATGCATGCCCTCTTACATGTTTTTAGTATGTTATGGCCGCTGTCCCATGACACATGCATATGTATATGTAAATGTGAAATGGCTAAGGCTAGGTTCCTTATTGAACACTTTTTTCTATTCTAACTTTCTACTTCACAGGGTTTATCTCTAGCTTGCAGCTCTGAATTTCGAATTTTTGAATGTTGACGACTCATTTGTCTCTCTTACCACAGGCAGTCACTGTTCTTGATATCCTGTACTCTACCTCTACCTCATCTCTTCCCTCCCAGAGCTCCTCGTTTTCTGTCACCTTCTCTTTTCTCCCTCCTTCTCTTTCTCCCTCACATTTCCTTTCTGTTCTACTCCATTCGACTCCTCCCTCTCTCTCTCTCTCTCTCTCTCTCTCTCTCTCTCTTATTTGTTCTTCTCTCTCTCTCCTCATACCCCTTTCTGGGAGAGAAGGGGTGAATGTCTCAGAGCACTTTTAAATTCATTTATTCAATGCATTCTGTGCATTATCAAGATTCATTTTTAAATGTCAGTTTTCAAGTTTATATGTCAGCTTTGTTAATGCTATTATTGCTATTATTATTGTTATTATTATTATTATTGTTGTATTTTCTTTGTATCGGTATCCTCGAATGTATTTATATATTGTTTATGTTGTTTGTATACATGTATGTACGTCACTCGCCAGTGGAGGACGAATTTCTGTATTTTTTTAAATCAGACAATAAATTATCTTGAATCTTGAATCTTGAATCTTGAATTTCGTTAATAAAACTGACATTTGTTGACATTCCCCAATAGGTCTAGTGGACCGACGATATAGAGAGACTGAAGCTTTTGGTCTAGGGTGGATCTAGCTTTTTGCTAATTAAAGAGTGGGGGGTAACCCAAATACGATGTGGAGCATCGTCCACGAGCCGCGTAGCGGCGAGGCGATTTTTGTTGTTGCTATTTTGAACCCTAGTAAGTGATGTTTTCCTGGCATCTACTAACATGCGGAGCATCGTCTACGAGCCGCAAAGCGGCGAGGCGGTTTTTTGGTGCTATTTTGAACCCCCGTTAGTGATGTCTTCCTGGCATCTACTGACATCTACTAATACTGTGTATGTCTGGACACATGATAGCATTTTTCTATGCACATCACATTTTCACTTGGCAGCCCAAGGGGGAGGGGGGAGGTTAAACCCCCTAAACCGCCTAGATCCGCCCCTGCAACATCTTTGGTGATCTTCTTCTCAATATTGATTTACTGGTCGATCGAGTTACATTATTTGCTGGTCTTTTAGAATAACCAGATTTCAGAGGATTCACACTTTTCACAACGAAAAACTTCTCCATGTTTCAGTCCTTGCGCGATCGTCTCCAGCTCCAGCAGATATGGGCGTCAGCGTTACCGGCTCAGTATAGCCACTGCTGACGACCGCATCAGCTGCACTGCGAGCTTCCGTTGTTTGTATCGGTAATACTCATAGAGATGGGAGAGAAAGCGCCATCTAAGTTCCATTTCATTGGTTTAAAGTTTGAAAATTGATACTCAATATTGTGTTAAAGTTATATCAGAAAAGATAATCTGTATTTTATAATTCGACGGGTGCGATTTTTAATTTTGCAATCGCCCCCGTGAGCAACCTGACGAGGGCGATTATGGAGCTCACGGGGGGCGAATCGCCCATCGCCCCCGTGTATTTTGAGCGTATTGAAATGAAACATGCCTATCATCTTTTTTAAAAGAAGAGTAGAGATAAACCACCTGTCAGTCATAATTATGTTCCTAGAGTTATTTTTGTTAAGTCACCGTTTTAATCATTTAGGTAAAGCAGTGACTGGTACCTTGGTAAAATAAGATATTGCAGAGAATATATAAACATTGAACAAATTATGGTAAAGTATAAGCTGCGACATTTTGCTTTCATTGATGAATTGTAAGAAATTTTTTAATTATCTGAGAAGGGGAGAATGACAGAGAGAGAATCGCTGATATCTTTGAACGTACATGAAAACAGTATTGTTCTCGCCAGGCTCTCTGCGGTACGGCACTGATTGACATTTCGAGGATACTGTCATGTGCGGTTCTCTTTCAAGCAAATTTATCGACTCGAAGAAGTTCATTTCATTTCTAAAACTCGGTAGATATACACCTCTTATAAAGTATTTCGTAAAATTCCCATTTTACACTGGTTTCAAATTCATCAAAAATATGAATTCAACTTCGTGGTACGACCCGTTGCCTTCGGCTTCGACGCCATCTCAAATGGATGATGAGAGGAGTAGATTCATCTTGGATGTGGTGTGGACCATCTTAGCCGCCTTGGGTGTGGTCGGAAACGTGTTTGTCCTGGTCGTCATAGGGAGTGTCAAAGAGCTGCAAGGCGTTACCAATATTCTCATCGCAAACCAGTCCCTGATCGACCTACTGACATCTCTTCTTGTTTTCCTTTGGTGGGTTCCTCCACTACCAATCAGTGAAGACAACCGCATCCGCGCCAAAATCATCTGCGCGACTTTCGACAACAGGTACTTCTTCTGGTCATCCGTAGCTGCGTCCACATTCAATCTGGTCTTCATCAGTCTGGAGCGTTACTATACCGTCTTACATCCCTTCAAATACAAGAAGAATATCACAACCAAGAGGGCATTGTAGGTAGCTGTTCTACCCTGGGTAATAGGATACGTTTACCAGCTGTATTCTTGGTTCTCGACTCGTCTCGTGGGCACAGCTTGTCAACCGAGGTTTTCAAGGTCTGTAAAAGTTGCTCTTGGGGTGAACGTGTTTTTTGTTCAGTATCTTTTTCCTTTGGCTCTTATGCTGTTCGTCCATGCTCGAATCGCTGCGTCCATGCGGAGCAGAGTTGGGCACAACCCAGAGCATCCTCTAGAAAACCGAAGGGATGGGAATGCAAGCAGTTGTGTGGTCGGTCGGCAGGCTCCTGCTTCGAATTACAGGGACCGAGCACGAAAAAACATCATCAAAAGTCTTTTTACTGTTACCCTCACCTTCGCTGTCTGCTGGACCCCGAATCAAATCACCTACCTGGTCTACAATTTGGGAGGCTACGTTAATTTATCAGGAGTGTTCTACAATATCACTGTTGTAATGGCATTTTGTAATATGTGCTGTAATCCATTTATTTACACGTTCCAGTATCGAAAGTTTCAAAAAGGAGTCATGACATTGATTTCAAGAGGAGTGAATTTCGGTGGTGTGAACGAAGAGACCGGTTCAGCCCACACAACCTGAGCTCTGAAAAAGGATAGATTCCCTGGCGACAATTTATCCGTGGTCAATAACAATAACCAACTTCCTAACTTGAAAAATGACGAAACACTTTGGCCTGGTTTGTAAAGAACAAAAGGAGGTTTGAGCTCAAACCTTGCTTTGTGAATTCGGGCCACTATGTGTTAGGAGAAATGTGAAACATGAAATAAACCCAATCGAACTGAACTTCAATCATAAATATACTAACCTCACACCAAAATCACAACTCTAATCCGATGTCCGGAACAGGCGCGTACACAGGGGGGGGGGGGGGGGGGGGGGGGGGGGGGGGGGTTGGGGGTTAAACCCCTCCTTTGGTATTTTTTGTGTGTAAATCCCCCCTAAATTTCCCTTACCCCCCCCCCCCCAACGGAGCAAAATGTCAAATTTTCAAATTTCTATACCAAAAAAAAAAAGTGTCCTCTTACCCCCCCCCCCCCCGCCGCTTATTCAGCGGTCAGCTGAGTCGTTGCGATTTTTTTTGGGACCAAAAAAAAAAAAAAAAGTGACCTCTTACCCCCCCCCCCCCCCCCCCCCCGCTTATTCAGCGGCTGGCTGAGTTGTTGCGAAATTTTCGGCCCGATTTATAAATGTTAACCCCCCCCCCCCCTTGAAAAAATCCTGCGTACGCGCCTGGTCAGGAATATGTAATATGTCTTTCGATTTTATTTCCTCATTTGTTCACGTTTTATCGAAGTAATATTTTCCTTGATTGAGTCACTATTTTTCGTCTTTAAAGAGGGGGTTGCTGGCCTTTCCAAAAAAAGCACAATGAGTTGAAAATTTAAAGTCATTTCTGAGTTTGATTTAAAAAAAAACCCTCATAGATGTACATGTAGTTCTAAAATCTAAACAAATATCATCTTCCTAAAGTAGGTTCTAAATAATGATAACATACATATGTACAAAAATGAAGAATACTAACAACTGGAATTTTAGTGCATTTAAGTTTTATAGTCAGAATAAAAGCCGATTATCGGCTTCAAATCGTACACATTCGCACTAACGTCACTACGATTCTTAGCCGATTTCTTTTCCGACTCCAAGGAAACTTGAAATCCATTGATATTTTAATTTTGATAATGATATGACTATTTCAATCATCGATAATTAAGATTTTAGAAATGTGAATGCTCATATCTAATACTATTGCAAATTCATCAAAATTCGAATCGTAGTCAGATCGTATATGTGCGATGGAGTTTACTCTTACATTAATTGCATTTATAATCCCTGTATGGGCGTGTGTGTGCGTGTGTGAGTAAAAAAAAAAGACAAAACGTAACCATTTATAAGTTTAAATGTATCATTTTAAATCTATTCTAGGTAATAACAAAGATAATCAAAGTACATTATATGTTTAATAGTTAAACATACGTATAGCGGCGTTTTCCATTGATAACAGGTATGTGACCGTACAGAATATCATTTTGTAGCCTATGTGTACGTAAGACATCTACCATTTTAAATTGCGGAATAATAGGAGTAAGAATAAGAACATATTATACAGCAGGGCAGTTCATAAACATTTCTCATGATTAATAACTCAAGTTTTTAGCCTTCATGTCATTGAAAGAAAGCATTGTGTTGTACTTGATAACTTATCTTTCATTAAGGATAGTAGTATCAGGGCTCAAATTATTTTTTTGTCCACGGGGGCTCTTCCAACAAAAAAAAAGAGCCCCCGTGAGCCTTCTCACGGGGGCTCTTTTAGTGCTGACGGGGGCTCTTATTTTAATACAAATTTCCATTGAATTTGTACCCATGAAACTCCTAAATTCCTTGGTATTTATCATTATCATTTATTTAAGTCGGCATTTTCCCTCTTAGAAATTTACTTGTTACATAGCTGTTATTGATTTTTATCCCCGTGATGACATTCTCTCCATTTCTTCCCGTTCTGCACATAATGCCCTCCTCATTATTCGGAGCAACCTTATTTACATTCTTTCTTTACTTTTAGTCTTTACCATATCCTTCCAAAACACAGGGCGGATCTAAACAGAAATAACCGTCTGATATGGGTCTTTTCGTTAATAAAACTGACATTTGTTGACATTCCCCAATAGGTCTAGTGGAGCCAGACGTAGTCTCAGTGGAACAACCGACGATATAGAGAGACTGAAGCTTTTGGTCTAGGGCGGATCTAGCTTTTTGCTAATTAAAGAGTGGGGGGGGGGGGTAACCCAAATACGATGTGGAGCATCGTCCACGAGCCGCAAAGCGGCGAGGCGGTTTTTTGGTGCTATTTTGAACCCCCGTTAGTGATGTCTTCCTGGCATCTACTGACATCTACTAATACTGTGTATGTCTGGACACATGATAGCATTTTTCTATGCACATCACATTTTCACTTGGCAGCCCAAGGGGGAGGGGGGGGGGGAGGTTAAACCCCCTAAACCGCCTAGATCCGCCCCTGCAACATCTTTGGTGATCTTCTTCTCAATATTGATTTACTGGTCGATCGAGTTACATTATTTGCTGGTCTTTTAGAATAACCAGATTTCAGAGGATTCACACTTTTCACAACGAAAAACTTCTCCATGTTTCAGTCCTTGCGCGATCGTCTCCAGCTCCAGCAGATATTGGGCGTCAGCGTCCACACCGGTATTACCGGCTCAGTATAGCCACTGCTGACGACCGCATCAGCTGCACTGCGAGCTTCCGTCGTTTGGGAGAGAAAGCGCCATCTAAGTTCCATTTCATTGGTTTAAAGTTTGAAAATTGATACTCAATATTGTGTTAAAGTTATATCAGAAAAGATAATCTGTATTTTATAATTCCACGGGTGCGATTTTTAATTTTGCAATCGCCCCCGTGAGCAACCTGACGAGGGCGATTATGGAGCTCACGGGGGGCGAATCGCCCATCGCCCCCGTGTATTTTGAGCGTATTGAAATGAAACATGCCTATCATCTTTTTTAAAAGAAGAGTAGAGATAAACCACCTGTCAGTCATAATTATGTTCCTAGAGTTATTTTTGTTAAGTCACCGTTTTAATCATTTAGGTAAAGCAGTGACTGGTACCTTGGTAAAATAAGATATTGCAGAGAATATATAAACATTGAACAAATTATGGTAAAGTATAAGCTGCGACATTTTGCTTTCATTGATGAATTGTAAGAAATTTTTTAATTATCTGAGAAGGGGAGAATGACAGAGAGAGAATCGCTGATATCTTTGAACGTACATGAAAACAGTATTGTTCTCGCCAGGCTCTCTGCGGTACGGCACTGATTGACATTTCGAGGATACTGTCATGTGCGGTTCTCTTTCAAGCAAATTTATCGACTCGAAGAAGTTCATTTCATTTCTAAAACTCGGTAGATATACACCTCTTATAAAGTATTTCGTAAAATTCCCATTTTACACTGGTTTCAAATTCATCAAAAATATGAATTCAACTTCGTGGTACGACCCGTTGCCTTCGGCTTCGACGCCATCTCAAATGGATGATGAGAGGAGTAGATTCATCTTGGATGTGGTGTGGACCATCTTAGCCGCCTTGGGTGTGGTCGGAAACGTGTTTGTCCTGGTCGTCATAGGGAGTGTCAAAGAGCTGCAAGGCGTTACCAATATTCTCATCGCAAACCAGTCCCTGATCGACCTACTGACATCTCTTCTTGTTTTCCTTTGGTGGGTTCCTCCACTACCAATCAGTGAAGACAACCGCATCCGCGCCAAAATCATCTGCGCGACTTTCGACAACAGGTACTTCTTCTGGTCATCCGTAGCTGCGTCCACATTCAATCTGGTCTTCATCAGTCTGGAGCGTTACTATACCGTCTTACATCCCTTCAAATACAAGAAGAATATCACAACCAAGAGGGCATTGTAGGTAGCTGTTCTACCCTGGGTAATAGGATACGTTTACCAGCTGTATTCTTGGTTCTCGACTCGTCTCGTGGGCACAGCTTGTCAACCGAGGTTTTCAAGGTCTGTAAAAGTTGCTCTTGGGGTGAACGTGTTTTTTGTTCAGTATCTTTTTCCTTTGGCTCTTATGCTGTTCGTCCATGCTCGAATCGCTGCGTCCATGCGGAGCAGAGTTGGGCACGACCCGGAGCATTCTCTAGAAAACCGAAGGGATGGGAATGCAAGAAGTAGTGTGGTTGGTCGGCAGGCGCCTGCTCCGAATTACAGGGACCGAGCACGAAAAAACATCGTCAAAAGTCTTTTTACTGTTACCCTCACCTTCGCTGTCTGCTGGACCCCGAATCAAATCATCTACCTGGTCTACAATTTGGGAGGCTACGTTAATTTCTCAGGAGTGTTCTACAATATCACTGTTGTAATGGCATTTTGTAATATGTGCTGTAATCCTTTTATTTACACATTCCAGTATCGGAATTTTCAAAAAGGAGTCATGAAATTGATTTCAAGAGGAG